CTGCCACCTGTCTGTCCATGCAGCCTTCCCTCTGCCAGCCAGCCCTCTGTCCATCCATCCATCCGTCTGTCCATCCATCTATCCGTCCATCTATCCATCAGTTCATCTGTCCATCCATCCGTCTATGCATCTGTCCATCTTTCCATCTGGCCATCCATCTGGCCGTTTGTCCATCCATCTGTCCATCCAGTCCATCTGCCTCTCCATCCATCAGTCATCCATCCAACCGTCCCTCCAGCCCTCCATCCATCTGTCCAGCCAGCCAGCCATTTGTCCATCTGTCCTTCCATCTATCTGTCCATCCATCCCTATACCCCTCTGTCCATTCAGCCATCGATCTATCCATCCATCCCTCTACCCATCTGTCCATCCTTCCATCCCCCCATTCATCCCTCTGTCTGTCCACCCCTCCCTCCCTCCCTCCAGCCCCCATCCCTGTCCCCCACTCACCACCGTCGCCGGGGCAGGGCAGGGCCAGCTGGGTCCTCACAGCCAGGTGGTCGGCCGGGTCCAGGATGTCGTAGAGGCTGTCTCCCTGGGCCACCAGGTCAACCTGCACATGGGTGTGTCAGTCTTGGCTGCCCTCCTGGGACCCCCTGGGACCTGCTGGGGACCTCCACCTTGTCCCCCACCTCCATCCACCCCTGAGGGCCCCTCCTCTGGCTCCCCGACCCTCTATCCCCATCCTCTTTAGGACCCATCTCTATCCCCCCACCCCATCTCCAACCCTCCCTCCCTCCTCTGCAGTCCCCTGTCCCCATCCCTTCATTCCTCCAGCTCTATCGCTTCTGGGCCTCTCCATACTTCTCCTCCCATCCCCTAGCTCCATCTCTCCTTCTCCAGGCCCTATCCCCATCGCTCCATCTCCATCCTCTCCAGGCCCTGCCTCCATCCCTCCTCCTCCATCCCCTAATGCCATCCCACCATCCCCATCCCCTGTAGACCCTCTCTCTCCCCTTTCATCCCTCCATCCCTTGGGACCTCTCTTCACCCCTCCATCCTTCTAGGGCCTTTCTCAATCTCTTCATCTCCCCATCCCCATCCCCTGTAGAGCCTCTCTCTCTTCACTGCCCATGTCCATCCCCTCCCTCCTTCCCTCCCTCCATCCCTCAGTCCATCCATCCCCCTGGCCTGGCCAGGCGCCACACGCACCATGGAGTGCCCCAGGTGCTGGGCCACGTTCTCGGAGATGTAGACCAGCTTGCCTTCACCCGTGAAGACCAGTAGGAAGCCGGGCAGTGAGGCCACCAGATCGTCCAGCTCTGGCCCCGCCAGCAGCTCCGCCAGGGCTCCCTGTGCCGGGCCTGCACACAGCACGCGGGGCTCAGGACCTGCCACAGTGCCTATTGGCCCCCCCTCCCGACCTGGGGCTCTGCACCCAATAGCATCCCGATGGCGCCCCAGTGACACCCCTGCATGCACCTGTGTCATCTCTGTGGGCACGGCACCCTGACCGCACCCACGGCACCCATGCACACACCTATGCATGCACAAACAGCACCTCAGCGACACCTGTGCATGGACCCAATGGCATCTCCATAAGCTCAGCACCCATGAACACACTCACAGCATTCCCATGGGCTTGGTACCCCCTACGGCACCCATGCATGGAACCATGGAGGCCCCATGGGCTCAGCGCTGGGCTCAGCACCCTAATGGACCCAGGCATAGACCCATGGTGATCCCATAGGCTCAACATTATCCCCAGCATCACCCACATGGACCCACAGCAGCCCTATGGGCTTGGCACCGAGTCTAGCACCCTGCTGATGCCCAGGCTGGGCCAGTACCGGGCCAAGGGACCAGCACCGAGCTCAGCACCTGGCCAGGCAGGGGTGGGTTCAACTCCAGCTCAGCACTGGGCCCGATCCGGTCAGGGTGACGAGTGGGTCCATGGGGTCTCCCCTGTGCACCCTACAACCACCCCACAGCCTCCTCCAGCACCACCCACCCCCCTCCAACCTGCCCCTCATCTGCCCAGTGACCCCAGTCTGCCCAGTGCTCCTTGTCCCCATCCCTCATCCCTGGTTCCACCGGTCCATCCTAGAGCCCTGGGCACATCCTGGACCCTTCCCAGTCTTGGTCCTGGACCTGTCCCCTGATCCCAGACTTGGTCCTTTCCCCCTGTCCAGGTCCTGTCCCAGAGTTCTCATCCAGTCCCCACTTCCCGGACCTGGTCCTGTCCCCTAATCCCTGGTCCTGGTGCTGATCCTGGTCCCGGTTTGGTACCCCCATTCCTGTCCCTGTTCTGTCCCAGTCCTGGTCTCCAGCCTGCAGCCCCGGCTCTGCTCCCCGGTCCCAGTCCTCACTGCTGTCCCCACTGCTGTCCTCCCATTCCTGTTCCAGCCGTAGTCCCAGACCCAGTCCCAGACCTCAGCCCTGTCTCCCCCCATCCTGGTCACGATCTTGTCCTGGCCCCGGTCTCAGCTCTAGTCTCATCCCTTGTCCGAGCTCCAGTCCTAATCCCGGTCCCGGTTCTGGTCCCAGCTCTGGTCCCAGCCCCAGTCTCAGCTTTGATCTCAGCCTCGGTCCCACCTCTGGCCCAAGCTCCGGTCTTGTCCCTGGTCCTAGTCACGGTCCCAGCCCCGGTCCGAGCACTGGTCTTGTCCCTGGTCCCAGCCCCGGTCCCAGCCCCGGTCCGAGCACTGGTCTTGTCCCTGGTCCTAGTCCCGGTCCCGGTCCCGTTCCCAGCCCGGATCGCTGTCCACGGTGCTGATCCCAGCTCCGCTGTCCCTGGTCCTTTCCCCTGTCCCTGTCCGTGGTGCTGATCCAGCCCAGTTGTCCCTGGTCATGTCTCCCCCGTCCCTGTCCGCGGTGCTGATCCCGGCCCCGCTATCCCGGCTCTGTCCATGGTGCTGATCCAGCCTCTGTCCATGGTGCTGATCCCCAGACCCGCTGCCTCGGTCCCTCGTCTCTGCCCACGGTGCTGATCCCCAGTAACGGTCTCCAGCTCCCGGTCCCAGCTCCCCCGGGCTGATGCCCGTCCTGCTGTCCCGGCCCCTGTCCCCGCTGCTCATCCCGGCTCCTGTCCCGAGCCCCAGTTCCCATCTTCGTTCCCGATTCCTTCTCCCGTCCCGTCAGTGTCCAGTCCTGTCACCATCACAGTGCCCAGTCCTGTCCCCATCTCATGCCTGGTGCCTGATCCCATCCCCATCGCTGTGCATGGGGCATCCTGCAGTCCCGGTGCCTACTGTCGTCCTCATCCCAGAGCCCGGTGCATCCTGCCGTCCCCATGCCGGTGCCCAGTGCATGCTCCTATCCCCGTCCCATGCCCGGTGCCCCATCCCGTACCCAGTGCAAGCTCCCATCGCAATGCCCGGCTCCCTCCCAATCCCAGAGCCAGGTGCATGCTCCCATCCTCATCCCGGTGCCCCGTGCATGCTCCCATCCCAATGCGCGCTGCCGTCCCGTGCCCAGCTCCCAGTGCCATCCCTGTCCCGTGCCCGGTGCATGCTCCCACCGCGGTACCCGGCTCGCCGGCGCGCACCGGTGCGGAGGCAGGTGCCTTTGCGGGTGTAGATGCAGGCCAGGGCCATGATGTGGAGGTAGGAGAGCCGGAGCCGGTCGCCGTCGGGGAGCGGGCGGGCG